TTTACAGAGCGCTTTGGAAACCTGTAGTGAAAATCCCTGGAAAGGCTGATGCGATCCTGGCGATACACTGATAATACCCCACGTTCTTGTTCTTAGTGTGTGTTCCAGAAATGTGTCAGCTGTGCATATAATTAGAGAGAGCATTGTCTTTATTCCCTTTTTCTTTTCTTCATTAAGTAAATTTATTTGTGGTGCTGGGACATAGAAGCAGTCCTTCATCTGTCTAGCCTGGTAGTTACCTTCGGCCATGACCAGGTGTTTGCTAGGAGGTGAAGAAGGACCCATGATGAACTCTGGTCCCTAGACCATGCCCAGCATCCCGGTAGTTAATCTGGTCTTCTGCCTGTTGAGAGAATTTTTTCTTCACCCCAGACAGAAAGTGGTTGGCAGTGCTCCAAAGTCTTCCATAAAACAGTAAAAATTATTCTTAGGTCTGTTGTTAAGAAATGCTCTTGGGCGTTTCTCCTGCACTGTTACATGGTGAAAGCGTTGAGGAACTTTTCTCTTTGGGCTCTTCAGTTTGCAACAACCAACTGACAAGAATAATTGATTTGAATGGGAACTAGGACTTTTGCTTGGAAGACAAGCTGTATTCAGGGTACGTCAAAACCAAATGTACATTATCACCTATTGCAGTTCTTCTAGCTGCCTCCATCTTCTTATGAGTAGGACGCTTTTTGCAACTATCTAAGCCCTTGTTATTGTAAATTTACAAGGCTGAGATTTTGTGAATTCTTCCGGTGGGCATGGAGAATTTTATTTGCAACAACCTTTGCATACTGAGAAACTGCTGTGCCTGGGAGAGCGTGATTTAATATTTGACTATTCCTATCGTCATTATTATTGTTAAATCCAGGTCTTTGTTACCCCTTTTTAGTCATGGCCAAATTGTAGATGGGGTGAATGTAAACTGTTGGAAATGTAAACTTCTGCATCACCCAATTAAACGCAGAGAAATAGTAATTTCTAGGGCATGATTCACCTCACTTGAAGGTAGACAACTGAAATAGCCGAGATGAATCACACTCCAGATGTGTCTCTTTCTCTTCACTGATTATAAAGGAGTCCAGATGACTGTCTCGGATGCTGTGTGGTAGACATCCAAAATTACAGGAGATAAGTCCCTTTCAAGGTCTGAGTACGTCTGACCACAATGCTAAGACCCAGATTTGAAACAAAGAGACGTGAACTTTCTGGAGTGGAGAGCGCCTATGTTGAATTCTCTCAGAAAATAATATTTTATCCTGACCTTTCTCTAGTTCATCATCTCTTGCTGCTGCAGATGTCAGGTTCTGTCTCTGTAACCCTGCCCTGAAAGAGTCAGACGGCTCCACAGATGCAGCAAGATGTCTTGCAAAATAAATTAAAGTGGATCTTTTAATTTTAGGCTGTGACGTTCTCTCAATGGACCTGGCACGTGCAATGGCTGGAACTCAAATTCTGCCATCCTGCTGCTGTCCTTTTTTCACAGGCTGAGCTGTATTTGTATTTCGGAAGGCCAAGGCTTGTTTGCAGGCTTCCTGGCATGCGGATCCCTTTCTTGGGCTTACGATATGGACCAGGGGCTGGAAGGGACCAGCTAAAGGGGCCTTTCTTCCATCTGCTGGCACTAGACCGTGAAAACCAAGAACTTACAGCCTTCCTCCTTGAGTATCAAGAAACGCCTTGCAAAGCCACCTCAGCTCCTGACATCCACTGAAAGCATCTTCCAGATCCCTGCATTAGCAGCAGAAAAAGGCCGAGCACACCCCGCTGCTTTTCTGGCCCTCTGCAAGCCCCGGCCAGCCCTTGCCGCTGGCCAAGCTGTGCTCCTTGGAGCTGGGGTTTTGTGCCTCGGGCTCGGAAACGCGCTTTTGCAAAGTAGGCTGGGAAGCTCTGAAACACAGTCCCTCTGAAGTTTGGGTTCAGTGACGTTTCTGTGGCAGTTTGTGCCCAGAACTGCTTGTGTGTGAAGTGACAGCAAAGCCTATGTCAGCTGAAGCAGAAAAAGCAGAAACACGGCTTCTGCGTAATAGCTCCGTTCCTGGTTCATCATCGGTGAAAAATGGACTGAAATACCCGATGGCATTAACAAAATGAACAAGTGTCAGGCCAACCTGATTTATTTTGTGACAAGAAAACTGATTTTCTAGCCAAAGAGAACGTACTCTACCTCGTTTATTTAGATAAGCTAAATGCAAGATCACAACGAGCCACTGGTGGGAGGTAGCCATGGGAAAAAGGGGGAGATATTATGTATTACTGCAAGATTTCTGTGACACTGTAATAAATATTTCATGCTGTTTCACAAATCTCTGGTAAGGTCTCTTTGGGAATAGTGATTACAGTTCTGGTCATCTATATTCAAGAAAGACACAGGCAAAATATCTAGATGCCTAAAAGGGCTGGTGAAGAGCTCGGGGGAAGGAAGAGCCGTCTGCCAAGACAAGGCTGGAAGAGCAGAGCTTGCTTAACGTGGGAAACGCAGGCTGGGGCGAGGAGTGACGGTGGCCATAAATACGGCAAAGGGGAAACGCCAGCGAAGGAGAAGAGCTCAGTCCCAGTGGAAGAACAGATGACTGTTAACTGGTCTTGGATGTATTAAGGGGGTGTTCTTCAGCTGTGAAGTCCTCATTCCTTCCAGATCTGTCTTGGGGTTCTTTGTGGTTTAAACTGATTCATATTTATGAAAGCATCTAGAAACCTTGATTTAGAGCGACGCGAGGTGGTGTGAGGAAGCACTGAAACATATCGCTATCTGGGTTGAGCATTCAGTTGTTGCACTGGAAAGAGAAATCAATCTTTATAACTGTTGTTTTTGCAGACGTAGCTACCCTGCTTCGCTAAGTGAGGGCCCGGAGCTGGGGTGAACCCAGGGTCCTACGCCGTCTGGCTTCAGCTGCCGTTAGTTTGGATGGGATCCTCTGGTGCCTACCTCCATGCAGCTCTGCATCAAAAGCCCAAACGTGAGAGAAATCCACACTAACGCAGTAGCTGCCCTCTGCGCTAAGTTCAGCGCATCGATTAGGTCCACTGCTTGGCTCTGCAATGAGAGCTTGGCATTAACCCGTGCCTTTGTCTTCTGTCTATCAGGTGGTCTTGTGAGGCTCGTGTGCAGCAATCCCCTATATGATACACGAAGAAGCCGTGTTTCTTGTACAGCTGATTTTGAATTAGGAAGGAGGATTTGTCAAAATGGAAGTTGGAGGAACATGGTTTTACTTTATCTACTGCAGGAAGAAGAGGTCCGCTGACGAGATACATCTTGGCTTTGAGGCTGAAAGGCACTAAGTGTCAAGTTAGGCTCTCTTAGATCATGCTGCTTTATGTGCAACCGACTCTAATAATTGAAGAGCTGAAACTGCAAGTGTAATTGTCACAAACCTAAGGAGCTTGATTTCTTAAAGGAAAATCAGTTCAAGGAAAACAGTAAATCAGGTCCTTTAATTGACTGAATTGCCTGTAGGGACTCGAATGCTCTTATACGTTTATGCTGAGAACCCTGCAGCAGCGCTAGAAGGTTTACTGCAAGTTCTTACTGTGCAGGTAGTTATTAGCAGGCATTTTGGTAAGCCAAACTTATAAAAGAGCTGTTAAGAGCTCTCTACCCATTCCCAGTGCTTCTGCGCTTGCATAAGCGCTGCGACGGGTTATTGTCTTGGTGCTTTGTATTGCTTGCCTAAATTGAAAGGATATCTGCGGCTGTTAAAGTCTTGCCATGTGGCAGGTCTGTAATGGTTGCAGCGCTGAGCTCTTTCTTTGTGAGCTGAAATTCTGATTTGGAGGCGAGCCCAAGTGCATATTCAGCGCGTCTCAGACGGCAGAATTCACGAACAAGGTTCAGGATGGCTCTGACAAGCTAATAAGCATATGGGTAAAAGTCTATTTTTGCTAGGGCAGTCTTACTGTTCAGTGCCGAATTCCTGCAGTGGATGAAACATAAACACAATTTATTATTCTGTTAAAAAATACATGTCTGTCGTTCTGAGGAGCAGCGGGTATCCCAGGCACGGATGGATGATTTGTCTTGTGGATGCACAAGCATCGGTGCTCGGATGAGTCCTTCCCGCAAGCGTTAAGCAGGAGTTTTATATATATATGAAACTGGGTGGCTCGCAACGAACATGACAAGCGGTTGGGTCCTTGCCATGGTGCTGGTCCAGCTCTGAGGCATCCGTGTGCTCCACGTGGAGGGGTGTTCAGTAGGTCCTGTCGGACACGAGTCTGGCCTCAGTCCGGTTCCTAGTGGGCAGGTATCTCCCCCGAAGGCTGTCGCAGCGGCCGGCGCCGGCAGGTTTCTTGTGGGCAGAGCGAGGGTTGAATGTGCCGTGGAGCCGGGCTCTGCTCCGGGTCAGGTCTGCAGCGGGTCGGCAGGGTGCCACGGGGCCCTTCTTATCTGCTGTGTAGCCTGAAGATTTCAAAAAGCAAGGGATGTCAGTACATCACCAGCACTAAACAAATACTGAATTATCTTTTTTTTTTAAAAAAAAAAAAAGTGTTCTAAATATGTTTGCAAACTTTGCTTGGATTTGCATGGAAGGCCGCCTGAGCCTGGAGCTGACATTTGATCCTTTAACCGAGCAAACTTGCTCTGAAACAAAAATTCCTTTGCAGGACCCCATCGCTTGGTTTTGCCAAGTTTTGGGAACACCCAGCTATACATTACGCTAACCGAATTGCACCTGAAAGCCACATGCCTCGATAGCTGTGCATGCTCACAAGTGCGGTGGTGGTGGCGGTGGCAGGGGGGGGGTTGCTTTTTCCACGCCTGGGGCCAGGACCTGAGGGGTGCTGAAGGTCCGCACGCGGTGCTGGCTTGCGTGGCGTGGTCGGGGGGGACGGCAGTCTGCAGAAACGGCCGCAGACTGGATTACATCGCGTGCGGATGAAAAGTGTTATGGATTGGAAGGGAGGAAGATTGTTTTACTTTGGCTGAGCGCTTTTTTTCTGTGCTGCTGCTGTGCATGTGCTTGCGTCGGGGAACCGAGCTTTTATTGACTGCTGGTTTTCTGTTTTCAAAGCTGATCAGTGGTGGTTCTATTGTAAGTGCTGAGGCAGTATGGGATCACGTCACCATGGCCAACCGGGAGTTGGCGTTTAAAGCAGGAGACGTTATCAAGGTCCTGGATGCTTCCAACAAGGACTGGTGGTGGGGTCAGATCGATGATGAAGAAGGATGGTTTCCCGCCAGCTTCGTGAGGGTGAGTGATTTTCTTCTTTTTACCACTACAATGAATCACTGCCGAGGCTGCTCGGAATGGTCAATGCACTGAACCGGTTACTGTGTTTGTTATCAGTGATGCTTATTTCCAATGTGTCTGTTTTCTGTCCGAAAAAAGGGGAGCAAAGGTTTCAAAAGAAGCGAGAGCTGGGGTGGAGGGAGGCTGGAGTAGCTATTGCCTCTGCTTTTTAAGCTCCTGGGATATGGAGTGGCCTTTGCTGTGTGTCTCAACATGCTGTGGCCTCTCTCCTTAAGCTGCTTTTTGGAAAACCAGTGAAGCCTTGTGCAGAATGGGAGCAGATGATTTGGTGGGGCCTAAAAGTTCACAGCAGCTACAAGCGACCCGCGTTCGAAGAGCTTTCTGGTCTGCGTGTCGCGCAGGGAGGTGTCAGCCCTCCCCTTTCCGACCGCAGGGCTGCGTTCTGACTCTTCAGCAGTTCCGGATGTAAAATTAATTCACTAATTAGTCCATGACCAGCTCTGGTTATTTTTTTTAAGGGGACAAGGAACCGTTTTGCTTGTCTCTGTTTTTCTGCTGAAGCAGATTTTGCTATACCCAGCCACCTCCAGTGGCGATCTGGCCTTTCACAAATAAGAAGGATTTGAGCATTTCATTTTTTTTTGCTCAGTATGTGTTAAGAAAGGAAAGGGACAAGAAGATGCCCTTTCTGCTATCATCAGCTCCTGCCACATTACTTGGGCGCTCTCGAGCCTTCCTCGGGGAGTCAAGGCGTCGGCTTTGACCTTGCGCGCTTCCTTCTCCTGTCCCTTCAGCGCAGGGTTCAATAGGCGGGATCAGAGATTTAATTCCTTTAGAAGCTTAGGGGATATGGTTCAAAAAATGAAGATTTCTTTTGCCTTGTAAAATGGTGTGAAAGATGACTCTTTCCTCTGAGCCTCCCAGGCAATTTGACAAGCTCCGTGGCGGTCGAGGGGAAGACGGTTCTCTCGGAAACGCGCGCTGAAGACCGCGCCGCATCCCAAGGAGACACCACGTTCGCTTTGGTTCTCTGCCTGTCTTACCATCCCTCTGAACCCTCCCTCTTTTGGGCAACCCCGCATCATCACCGGCCCTGTTTGATTAGATCGCTTCATCTGGGAAATAGCCATATGGATGAGGAAAACTGGGTTAAAATGTATGACCTGGTGTTTCCTAGAGATGTACAATGACCACTGATAAGGGAGCCCAGACCTTTGCTTGCTTCTGCCTCGCCAGTGCACAATTTTTTTTCCCCCCTGGGACACACGATGCAGCTCTTCTGTCTCTCCTAGGTCTGGCCAGTGCTAAGAGCAAGACTGGAACTGGAGCCTGGGCTGCCTGCCTGTAAAAGCTTATGCTGTTATTCTGGCCCAGAATAACAAGCAGCAGTCAGTATTTCGTTGAATAGGACACCGCGAGTCTGACCCCCACAGCCAGTGGAGGTAACAAGTTTGGAGACTGGATTTGCATCAGGTGTGATCAAGATGATAATCGTATTGCTGAAAATATTCTCACCTGTATCGCCAGCACATCTCATCGGCGTTGCTGGCTGGAAAGGCTGAATTAGAAAAATTGGTCTGTCTGATAATTTTTGCTTAATTTGGAGACTGAAATATTCTGGGCCAGTTTTAACTTTTCAGTGCATTGACCAGTGCTGGTTTTGTGATTCAGGGGAAAAGGTTTAATATCCTTTTTTTGCATGATGTTGTAAACATACTGTTCACGGTAGGTTTAATAACAGTCTTGTTTTGTGCTCTCCTGTTTTCTAAAAAACCACACCAAACAACTACACAAACAAGCCTATTTACTCGAAGGCCCAAGCCCATGGATCATTTGACTTGGCTGAACTTTCCATCTCTCCCTACGCTTTTCAAAGGCCGGGAGGATGATTTTAGAAACTGGGGAAAACAAAGGAGAGGAATCAATGAATCTCAGACTGTTGTACACAAATGTCTGAACAACATCCTGGAACAAATCTTAGTGCTTAGGATCGTGATGGCCTTACCAGGCAAGTTTCTTGCCCATTTTGTCTAATGTGGCAACCCCCCGGCTTGACTTTACTCCGACAAAATCAATCCTTCCGTCAGCTCTGCAAGAGGCCGGCTCGGTTATTCCACCTTTTTCAGCGCAGGCTGGGACCAGACACCTGTTCTGGGACCAAATGATGCGCTCCCAGAGGGGGAAACTGCATGGTTTTGCTGCCATGAATGATAATTAATATTTAAAAATAAGTACCAGGCATTTCAAAAAATATGCAAGCGGAGTTCTGGCACAGTTTGTCCGCAGCTCTGCAAGGGAGGCTGAAGGGGAAGATTTGCCCCTCGGGTTTACAGAGCGGGGCTGCCTTCTCCCCGCGGCACTTCTGGGTGCGCTGCCACGAGGCAGCCCACTCGCTGCTTGTCCTGTGCTGAGAAAACGACTGCCATTTGGGCTGTCATGTTCTCCTCTCCTCTCTTGGCTGAGGTCGCTCGCTTGCCTCTTCATTTCTATTCTTGCATGTTCCCCCCCGCCCCCTTCACTCTCTGTCTGTCTTGGTAAGTGATTTGAACCAGATGCCTGCGGAGCCTTCGGGGCCGTAGGAGAAGGTGCCTGTCGCCCCTCTTTTTGCTTGCAGAACCATGGCGGCCGGTTTGTGCTACTTCAGGGTCCTGTCGAGGACCATTTAACCTGAACCCTTTTCACTTTGCTCTTCTCTCCATTTTTTTCCTCGTATTTCTTATTCAGCTGATCGCTCTTTCATAATGAGGAGGCTGGGTTTTTTTCTCAGTTGTACTTTGAGCCCTGCTTTTTTAAGAGGATGCCAGAAAACTGCCTGATTTAGCCTCGGTGGTTCTAGTTTTACTTGCAAAATAATTGCTTTCCTTTATATCTGTATTTCTCTTATGCAAGTACAGGAGGAAAAGGGAACAACATGTTGCATAGCAGAGGATGAAAAGCAATTCAAGTAAGGGATGAGAGGACAGACCAGACAGGTATAAAACCAAATAGGATTAATTTCAGGATATTTGAGACCGCAGGTCTCTTGTAGATACTAAGAGGGGGTGCAGCAGAAGATCACTGCAAAGTCAGATTCCTCTGAAAGTCGTTTGGATCACTTCTGAGGACAAAACTGGGCTGGAAACCTAGTTAGCAATGAGACGTCTGACGCTTCTTGCTCTCCAGCCAGATCATATGAAAATCTTTGGCAAAGCATTTGGCACTCACAAAATCTCATAGCAGGAAAAAATTCACATTTGCAAGTGCAGAGGAAAACAGTAACCTGCTGATTCCCTTGGCCTCTTTTACATGCATAGTTGGGGGGGTTGCAAACAAACACTGCACTTGAATTGCCTGCACGTACAGGACTTGTTGTCTGAACACCTGCAGTTATCTTCTTAGGAGCTTGAGATGTGGCTAAAAGAAAGGGGAGAGAGGAAAGCCATAAAGTTTTGGGAACGTAGGAACTTTCAAGGAGAAACTGGATGATAAAGCGATGCTTTTTGGGGAAAAGCACAACATCGGAGAAGGAAAATTTGGAGCTAGTAAGCAATGGTGAATGGTTTCCTGCAGGAAGCTGCTGCGCTCAAGGAGAAAGTTATGAAAACCTGTAAGTCATTAGAGAGGCGGATGAGAACTCTAGAACTGGGTTAAGGCCAAACAGTGAGCAGAGTTTAGGACAGATGAAGGTAGCTATGTTGTATTTTAGCGAGTGTTGTCAAGTGAGCACGGCGGACCACCACAGGGTGCAAGCATCAATCTCGTGATTGCACAGTGTCTTTGAATGTCCTGTCAACTTTTAGGGGTCTGAAAGGATGGGAGGTACGATTGGAAAAAAACAGCAGGACTTTTAAACAGGATTTCATATCCTTGTAGTGGTGGTGCTACTTGTTGCTTTTCTCTCCTTTGTGGATGGTGTAGCCTCGGTCTGTCTTTGCATGACGTGGTACAAATGAGGTTTTGCATAGCAGCCCATCCAGTGTCCACATCCACTCAAAAAAATAAGCTTAGTGTTCGTAGGGAGGAATTTACAGCACAGAATAATACTCCAATACTGCAGATGGATCAATTGTCATACCTTAACGTCTCCTTTAGAAAATACGGTAAGTCTCAAAACTTCTTTTTGATTGCAGAGCCTGACATCAAGTCTCCAAAATGGCCCGGGTGAGATTCAAACACTCCAAACACAGGAAATCAAATGGCATCGTGTTTGGGCTCTGACATACTTCCCCTGAAAAAAGAGATAAAAAAATGAAAGCTTATGGATGTTTAGTGCTGTGAAATCTTTCCATAGAGACAGAGCAGAATGCACCCATCCTGGGCAGAGAAGGGGATTTATTTTGTTATAAAGCTCTCCTGGATCTCTTTGGATACCGAGAGGCAGACTGCGTTTCCAGAATACATTTCTTCTCACCTGAGCAGTGTCTTCCTTCCTTCCATTTACTAAGCCACGCGAAAGAGCAAATCTGGGCTTGAGGAGGTTTTGCTACAACTTCTTGGGAGTGCCCGGTGACTGCTGAGTTGTTGTGCAGAAATGAAGGGTAGCGGTCCTCCAAAGGCTTGAGCAAAGGTGCTGTGTAAATGCTCTGTGGTCTGCACCTCTTACACAGGAGAAGACGCAGGCGTGGATGAGTGCAGCAGCTCCTTGTTCTCTCACCATTGCCTCGGTTTCCCCAAGTGTTGTAATTTTAGATGGATTTTCC